ATATTGGAATGCATCCTTCTTTGATCTGCCAATTCCCAAGGGCAATCCCAAATATCTAGTTGATTTATGAGCAGTGATGCCTTGTAGTGCTGCACCAATTCTATTTTGCAAAATGGCAGGGTGTTCTTGCTGTAGAAGATAGCTGATTTATTGATGTTAACTTTTTGCCCAGTGAACAGTCTATACTTATCCAGAAGATTTAAAAGAGCATTAGCCTGTCCAACATCAGCTTTGCAAAAGAACAATGAATCATCCGCAAAAAGAAGGTGAGATATTGGTGGGCCATTTTTAGAAAGTTTCATCCCAGATAACTGACCTGAGTTAAAGGAAGCTGTAACTAGTGCAGAGAGCAGCTCAGCAACAATAATAAAGAGATATATGTAAATAATACATAAAATTTTAAATTGAATAATAGACATATCACATTTTAATATTTTGAATATAAGTAAATAAACTATAGAAATATAAATTGTTAAGTTACTTATAAATCGTTATATTGATGATATAAAATGTAATGGATACTTTGTAATTTAGAAGGACCATAACTACTTAATTAATTAAAAAAACTACAAATATTTTTATTATTATTATAACAATAGTTTATGTAATTTTAAGTGTTTTGATTAGGCCACTAAAACTAATTAACTAATATTACAGAAAAAATCTAAATAAGATGAAAGTAATAATATATATTGTAGAATAAATATCTTAAAGAAAAAAAATTCATAGATTTTTTTATATGTATGTAACTTTGACACGTGATTAGTAGTTACTATAATATAATAAAATCTTTTAAAAAAATTATAAACTAAATTCATGTAAGACATATGTTTGGTTGACAAATAAACTATCTTATAATTTATTTGGTTAGCTTATAAGCTCACTGTATTCAGATAAGTCTTGTTTGGTAGGACGAGCTTTTTTAAAAAGTTCGAGCTTATTTGATAAACTTCTTTAGTTAACTTTTCAAATAAGCTAGTTAATTTTTGTTATTCCAACTAGCTTATCAGCTAATTTTCTAAATATTTTTATTTTATAAGTTAGTTTTTCAGCTATAACTCATAAGCTATATCAAAGGTCTTGGTTTCAGAAAATGGAATGTCTAATATTTTTTCACCCGGAGAATTAATTGCACAATCGAAATAGAAGATGTTCATTTCAAATATCGAAAAACCTCAATACACAGCGCTAACCCATGACCTACTACATTGCTATTCCGGAAGGAATTGAATCTAAAAGAAAAGAATATTTGAACATTCAAATTTGTTTTTTCAACACTACTAAGATTATTTATTTTTGGAGTTCCTATAATTTCAAAAATTACTAATAAGCTATAAACTAGCTTATCAGCTAATTTTACCAAACGTAGATGAAAGGCTTCTTCTATATTACTCGAAAATTTGATTGAAATTTTTTTATGATTTGCATTGATTAGATAGCCTACAATTATATATATAGATATTTTTTATAGGTTGTATTAGAATGGGGAAGAGAGTGCGGTCCCACCAGATGAAGGCGCACCATAAGAGGGTGAGCCTAGATGCACCTTAGTGAGGTTCCATCCCAAAACCAATTGGTAATGGGAGGAGTAGCCCACTAGGCTTATATACTAGACTCATTTTCCCTGTAGAATCAATGTGGGACACTCACAAGTGATATTCCAACATGTTGCAATAATAGTGAGATGTTTGAGACTCGAACAGTTTGATCATGATCGGCGTTGCAACATGAGTGTATGACTGTTGTCGATCTTGAACAGTTTAGCCTCATTTTTTTTTTATTATTATTTTTTTTTTTATTATTATTTTTTGTTTACCGTAGGATGTAATTTTAATATTTTAAACTAATTAATGGGTCATAATATTTGAAATTTGTTAAAAAAAGTCATATTCGTCATTACATTTTATGCAATTTATTTATTGATTGATGTATAATTAAAATAATTCATAATTACAATGTTTATTTCTACTAATGAACATATTTATGAAATGTGATATACATATTATTTTACTTATAGTTTTAACTAGAATATTTATACATACTAGTAAGCATCCCGTGTGATGCACATGCGAGTTTGTATCTTATAACATTTTTTTTTAAAAAAAAACTCTATTTGCCCGTTGACCCATTTATATTATTATAAATAATATTTTAAAACATGTATTTGTTTTTTTATACATAAATAATAATTTTACTTATTATTATTCATAATACTACTTTAATATTGTTTTATTCTAAAATTTAATTTCACGTAGTTTCATTATCATTATTGTAGCACTAATAAAAGTAATATTTTCTTAATGATAAGTATTTAATTAAATTAATATTATTTATTGATGTAATTAATTATAAAATATTTAAATAAATTTCAAATAAACATTGTGTCATATATGAGATTAAAGTTTTAAACTTTAAAAGAAAAATATTAAATTGGTTTTCAAATAATTTCTTAAATTAGTAAGTCAAAGAATTTATTTATTTAGTCAAATTTTATATTTCATTATTTTTTCAACAAACTTTTTATACGAGTATAGATTCCTAACAATATTTTACTAGAGTTCGTGCACGTGCACAACATCGAATACTAGGTGTAAACCCACATTTTATCCACTCGCACCTCCTTGAAGATAATTTGATAACACCATAACATCCTTGTTCTTCCCAGCATTTGGAAGCACAGAATTTTTTTGCAGGGGAAGCAAACCCACAGCACAAAAAACCTACGATTTGGTTTTTCAATGTTTGTAAATCTTATCCGATGAGCTTCTTCTCAAGAATGGACAGTCTCTGTCTTGGCACAAGCACCACCGCCAATAGTTCCTCCGCGCTTCAATTCTTCTCGCAGCCCTCCATTAATGGCATTGGTAGGAGCTCTAAAATTCTGAGGTTTCCTATCAGAAAACCTCGAAATACTCTGGTTCTTGCATCAAAAGATAAACCCGAGCTGGACGAGTGGGATCGAATGGAGCTTAAATTCGGTAGAATGACTGGGGAGGACCCCGAACTCACCATGGCAAAGGTACTTTGTAATCTGGAACTTGCGAACAAAAGATTACAGGTGTTCTTTTATGTTGCTGTTTCTTAGGCGTTGAGTGAGAGAATGTAGTGTTGCCTTGTTCATTGGAACTTTGGATAACGTTTCTGTTATTTAATTTGCTTGTTTTAGGATATGATTAGATGGGCTTTCTGTATTCAGTTAGCTGCATTATTCTGCAATTCAATGTTTTCTTAAGTTGATTTTGGATTTTTCAGATAATGGGGAGGAAGTTGAATCCGGATTTGTCTTATTTGGAAATTGAGAAGCTATTTTATAAACGGAAGGGACGGAAGGGCAAGTCATCGAGTGATGAAATAGTTGATATCCCGTTTGATCTGTCTGATGAAAAGAAGTCTAAAATATCGACACAAGGACTAAATTTGGTCCGTCCTGTTCCAAGGAAAGGTGTTAAGTTCGAGGCGACTAACAAAATTTTGGAAGCTGATATTGAGAAATCTGGCCGACCTGTAAATTTGTCTAATGAAAAGAAGTCGGCATTATCAACACAAGGGCTGAGTTTGCTTCGTCCTGTTCCAAAGAAAGGTATCAAGTTTGAGGCAACTGATAAAATGTCAAAAGCCTATGATGAAAACTCTACCCGGCCAGAGAAAAAATCTGCGGACGAGGCCAAAAGCAGCGTGCCCAATGTTATTTTGCGAAAGCCAAGTTTGGTTAATGAGGACGTTGATGGTGCCAATGGGAAAAAAACTTATAGGTTTGGCATGAAACCAAACTTGTCTCTGAGAATGGGGGAGGAGATGCAAAAGGAGAGGTTTAGTGATATCACACTGTTGAAAAAGCCCGAGCCAATGACCATAAGTAATGAAGCGAACGGTCAATCTGATTCTAGTTTTGAAATTGAAGATGAGAATAAGGTCATTACTTTCAATAAGGAGAGAGAACAAAATTCATCGGAGGATCTCACTGAGTCTAACTTCAATGCTATTGTCACTGAGGACGAATTCATTACTTCCGAGATAGTGACTGCATATGGAGGCAATGCCAATCAGTTCCAGGAAACTGTTAAAAAAGATTCTGAAGTGGATGAGCCGTCTGCAGGAGGTAGTTTGATTAGTTTGCAGTTAAGCTATTTACGATATAAGGCAAGCTGTAGGGAAATTGAAGATATTATGCTTGAATAAATTCTTGGTTCCTTTTGAAGAATTACAGGCAGATGTGTCGTCTGGAGGAGAAACATTTGCTACTGATGGATCTTCTGGAAGTATCAATTCAATGCCTATGGATTCTGTGCTTAGTAAAAAACCAAAACGGTTGTGTGCTTTCTCCCCCTTTCTCTATGTGTGTGTGTGTGTGTGTGTGTGTGTCTTTGTGGGTATTTAAAATTGATTGTTTTATACTATTATACTTGTGTTATAGATTAGATCGCCCGAGTAAAGCAACATCTCAGAAGGTTCCCAAAAATCCTGAAAGCTTTGGAAATCCCTCAGGACTTGAGAACTTCGTAAAAAATTCACCCGTTAAGGTTAGCGACCAACGCATCAGGCAATGGAGAAGTTTCTTATATTGGATTCTGATTGATTGTTGTGTGCTTTTGTAGGAACATGAGGAGGGAGACTGGACCAGGGCCGAAAAGATGGTCCAGACAGGGGAAAGAGAAGAAGTTGAACTGATTAGCTCCAGTACTGGAGGATTTGTTGTGAGTTAACTTGGTATATTTATAGAAATTAGAGGAAGTTTTATCCTTAAAGCATCTTAGAGCTAAGATGGTGTTGATCTTTATTTTGAAACTAAGCCATTTCTTTGTTTGCACCACAAATAAAATTTTACAAGGGATAAGATGTTAAATTTTGGCATTTTAGTTAAAATTATCTATTATAACGATGTTGCGAAAGCTATATCATCATCTGAGGAGTCGGGATATCCCACCTTTTCTGAAACAACATATAAGCTTTTTAACATTGTAGTTTTTAGGCTTATATATATGTGTGTGTGTATGTGTGTGTGTGTGGTGTGTTTGTGTGTATTTATATATATTGGATAAACCAGTCCCTTTTACAGAGCTTATAGTCATTGACTCATTGAAGTATGTTAAAAGGTGCTTTGAACTTAAACAAACAACATCTTAGTGTTCTAGTTTAACATCAGAAAAATTCTTTTTGACCATTCAGTTTCCACTACAGGTATCCTTTGGTTCCTTGACTGGATTTCTACCTCACCGCAACCTTGGTGCGCGGTGGAAGTTTGTAGCTTTTGAGTCATGGTTGAGAAGAAATGGTTTAGACCCATCTAATTACAGACAAAACCTTGGCATAATTGGAAACAATGAAGCTATCAGCATGGGCGATACCTCTGAGCCGACATTAGATCCAGAAAGTGGCCCTAAACCTGACACCGCAATAACACCGGATATGAAACTTGAGGATCTACTCATGATTTATGATCAAGAGAAACTCAAATTCTTATCATCCTTTATTGGTCAGGTTTGACAACTATTTTCCAGGACTATTAGTGTATTCAATTGGGATTTCAAGTGACATTTTGAGACGTTTTAAAGATTTGAGATATTGTAAGATTTTAAGATTTTGGAGGATTACTGTGAAATCTTAAGTTTGGAGGTGGGTGAAGTGGGATTTCACATAAGGTTTTTTCTTTAGAAATCCCACCAAATCTTAAAAAGTCTTAACAAATCATAGTCTTAAATAAGTTAAATACCTCAGGGATTTTGTAAGATATTTTAAAATCTCAATTGAATAACTCAAGACTTTTATAAGTCTTTAAAAGTCTTAACAAATGTAAATTGAATACACCAGGATTTCTAAAGTCTTAAAAAGTTTTTAGAAATCCCAATTGAATACTCCGTTTGATTTTAACTTTTGTTATACTTATCTAGTACCTGTTTGCTAGTAGAAAATCAAAGTGGGTGTAGTATTGGCTGACAGAAATTCCCAGAGGCTAATAATGTCCTTCAAACCAAGAGAGAAAGAAGAATCGGCCAAAATGAAGAGGAGTCTCATGGTAACAAATTCTTTCCAACTGGGAGTTGTTACTTTTAGTAATTTTTGGTGCATTGAGTCAGGTTTGACTGTTATCCAACTTAAGTTTCTTATTGATATGCATTTTCATCAGTATCTCAGACATGAGTGATTAGATGATTGGGGCAGAGGGTCCTATATATGAAATTGACATAGTTGATTTGAATTTCAAAGCAATCGAAATAATTTCTAGAGGTTGTCATGTTTTCCTGTTATAGAGGCATTGGCTTCCATATCTGCATTATACAAATAACAAATTTAGCTTCTTGACCTTTAATGCTATTCTATTTTACAGGCACGACTAAATGTTGGAGATGTAGTCAAGTGTTGCATTACAAAGGTCACATATTTTGGTATCTTTGTCGAGGTAGGTTAATCAAATTTCATATGACCGCCGGTGTATAATTTCTTTGACGGTTAGTTATAATTTGTGAATATTGAAGCTCCAAAAATGAAGCTTCGTAATGGCTAACTGCTGAGTCGTGATATGGGTATTCAAATCTAGGTTGAAGGGGGGGTACCAGCACTAATTCATCAGTCAGAAGTTTCGTGGGATGCCACCTTGGATCTTTCGTCATACTTTCAAGTTGGCCAGGTATGCTGGCTCTGGTGTTTATATGAAATCTTTCAAATCTGGAAATAGTGTTTGCGGTTGGTTTTCAAAAATGTTTTTTGAAGCCAAATAAGATTTTAGATGCGTATAAGCTGGTTGTTTTATGGTTGGGAGATTTCTTACTTTTCATGAGATAAGATATATGTTACAACCTTGTCTACTTTTGATTATTTTAATAATAAAATCGCCCCTCAGCAACAAGTTGAAAGCTCCACCGATTTGTTTTATCCAAACACTCAAACTAGTTATTTTCGAAGTGAAATCTTCTTCTGACATGCTCCAAAAACTATATTATGAGATCTTTTAAATAATTATAGCGTAAGTTTTAGGGTCCTGGTTGTGCATTCTATTGGCAATTTTTTTTCCCGAAGAAAAGAGATTATGGTCATATTATAAGAAATTGATGTTTTTAGTACTTCAATTTTTATGCTTTTTTTTTTTTTTTTTTTTCAGACGGTTGATGCAAAAGTTCACCAATTGGATTTTTCACTTGAACGTATATATTTGTCTTTGAAGGGAATCACGGTAAACTCTTAACCATGTCCTACGACATTATATCACCAGAGAAGAAAACTGTAATGGAAACAACATGTTTTTTATTCTATTATTTGGCAGCCAGACCCACTGATGGAGGCGCTGGAGGCTGTTGTTAGCGATCACAATTCTTCGGATGGTAGACTTGAAGCGGCTGAGGCAGATACTAAGGTTTTCATTTTGAAATATTTAATCGATACCTCCATTGCATTTTTCGCAACTCCGGTTTCCTTTATCAGAAACATGGCTAATTTTGTCAAATATTTTCGTTACAAAATTGTGTAGTGGCCTGATGTGGAGTCACTCATCAAAGAATTACAGCAATTTGATGGAATTCAATCCGTGTCGAAAGGACGTTACTTTTTAAGCCCTGGTTTGGCTCCTACATTTCAGGTGAATTTGGTTAGCTGGTATTACTGTGAGGTTTAATTTTTTAAAATAACCTTGAGGTTTTATATTATAAGAACCGTAGCTTTCCCTTAAACATTGCAATTACACCCTTGAATATTTAATCTTACCACTTGCCACTTGTAATGGTATACTCATCAAGAGACTGGAAATCCCATGACAGTGTTTGTATTACCATAAGGTGATATTTGTAATTTTGAAAGACAATAAGTTAAAAAAAAAAAAAGAAATTATCCCTCAAGTTTTTTTTTTAATAGTTCTGCAATTGATTATACAAATCAAAGAACGAAAACCGTGAAGCTTATGCTGTAAATATTCCGGTTGGTATTAAGCCTGTAAGTCCAATGTTTTCTGCAGGTCTATATGGCCTCATTGTTCGAAAACCAGTACAAGTTGCTTGCTCGAGCAGGAAATAGAGTACAGGAGGTGATAGTACCTTATTACTCCTAATTATTTTCAGTACAATTCGTTGAAAGAAGCTCTCATTGCCTTTAGACCTAGAGAAAAATACTTCTGAAACACATGCATCGATGTTTTAGGTTGTTTGCTTTATGTTGTCATAATTCCCAACAATCGAGTAACGAAACTACTTGCACAGGTAATTGTGCGGACCTCCCTGAGCAAAGACGAGCTCAGATATGCTATTATGACGTGCACGAATAGAGTAGAGTGAACAAATCCCAAATAAAAGGTCAATGTTGCCTAATTTTAATTGAATGAGCGGCATGTGGATGTATGTTAATGTTGGCTTTTCCGATATTCATTGCTGGTGGTGTTGGTGACAAGGCGCGTCAGTTTTTTATAGTTCATGTTATATAAATAATCTGTGAATTTAAATAATTTTGTTTTCGCACGAGCACCAGAGACCAATTATAGAAAAGCAACGATAGAAGTATTGTGAAGAATTATATTTGATAGTTATATTTGTGATCTCTACATACTCTGTATATAATTGTGAGAGTGATGAATAAGTGTAAAATTTTGTTGGTGGATTATCACTAACCTCTATTTTTTAGTTCTAAATTAAATTTATCGCTAGAAACAATCATGTTCACAATAACAAAATGGGTCTTGATCTCCAGAGTTTTGGTCACAATGTGAATAGGGATTAGTGCCCTCAAAGTAATCGAAGCACAGTTGAGAGCATCGGCCTGGAGTTACAGTGAAGCCACACAAGCCAAGTATCGCAGTACATCTATATATTGGTGGAGGACGTGCACAAACACTTTGTATAATTTAACATCTGCATTTTTAAGACATAACAAATCAAATAATCTATATTATTTTTCAATGCATCATTTTTAATTTAGCTCAAATATTGACAAGAGAAAAATGGAAGGGAATTCCAAATAGGGGCCATGAAGATAAGTTAAAAAAAGATCTCTGTTATTCAAAATTTTCTAATGATTTTTTACTAGAATTTTAACTATGATTGTAGAATGTTTCAATCTATAATTTATTTACTAAAACATGTACTAAATATTTACTAAAATGTTAATTAAGATTGTAGAAAATTTCAAATTTATAATCTAAACTCTAGAATATAACTTCCTTATGGCCACATATTTTTATTTTGTTATAAATAAAGTAGTTTAGTGAAGATATGTATTATATAGTAACTTTATACTGTGCTTTTAATTTTATATGGTATTATTAAAATTTATAAAATAAAATAAAATTATATCTATCAATGAGTTTTAATTATTAAACAAATGGAAAATATTAGATTGTGAAGGGAAGAACCAGAAAGGAATTCACTTAAAAAAGCAGACTCAACTTACGTAATGTCTTAAGAAAACACTGATAGTTTTATGATTCCTGATTTCATTCTTGGCTTAAAGTGATTCTTTTGCTTAATTTCCTTATGGCTTATGCTAATTTTTTTTCATGGTCGAATGTTCATCTTAGTTATATATATAACAAACTTATCATTTTTATTTTTATGGCTCAACCATGTCCTCTATCTATAATACACCATATCTGCTATCTGTAGCACTTAAATGTTATAGAATCAGGTTGTGAGTCACTAATCGGTTTGAGATTTTCTTTGTGAATTTGCATTCTCGTCGTTTTAATTGATATTGATGGCAGTAGCATAGTAACAATTTGGTATGCATGAACATAAAAGTTTGTGAGACACACTGTTTTCGGTCATAATTTTGATACTCTGTTACTGAATGATGGGGAATGATTCTGTAAATAACTTAAGGCATGAAAAAGGAAATAATCATAATGGCAACCAAATGTAGTTGTAGGATAATGTTGTTGTGGTTTACATGTTGCTGGCATTTGGCTCATTTTGTCAATTTTAACTGTCCATTGAGAAAAAAAGTCGTTTGACAAATATATTTATAATTTACAATTATAGTCCTCAAGTTACAAACTTAACAGTCTTCTTTTTGTTATCTATGGCACTTCAAGAAGTCACAAAAAGCTGGAACTATGCATAAAACTTAGAAATTTTGAGGGCTTTGATTGAAATTTAATTAACAACATTAGTAGGTAATGGAAATAGGCAAAATAGAATCAACCATTGGGAAGACTTTAATTATTATTATTATTATTCCTTTTCTTTTCCGGAAATTATCCATGATCTTACTATCCAATAGAGGAAATAAAACTTGCGATCTAATTTGGATCTAGTGAACTGGACACACCGCAAATGAGTTGTCTGAATTCCCTGTTTCTTTTAAGTGAATTCCTTTGAGCATGTTTCTTCCCTTCACAATCTAATTTTATTTTGTTATAAATAGAGTAGTTTTAGTAAAGAATGTCATTTTATATGATACTATTAAAATTTATAAAATAAAATTAAAATATATCTATCAACTAGTTTTAATTATTAAACAAATGGAAAATATTTCTATGCCACAAACAAAATTTTGTCTTCATTTTTGTCCAGCATCCCATTGTAAGTTTCATTCAGGGAACACCAATGCAAGAAATTATAAAAATATGTAACAAGCATCCCATTGTAAGTTTCATGCGTGGGAACAACAATGCAAGAAATTATAAAAATGTTTAACATTGTTAGATGAAAAAACCAAGAATTAAACTAGGTTAAGTTGTACCATTAGTGATGCAGAATAGATATAAGTATTATTATTATTATTATTATTATTATTATTATTATTATTATTATTATTTGGGCCAGTACAGACTGATTTTGGCAGCGAATTTAGTCCAGGGGTGGGCCCGTTTTGCGCTGACTTTCCCGACTTTGACGAAGATCACGTGGATGGGCCAATTTACGACGGTCCGCCCGTTTTTTATGAGGAGTCTCCG